TGTATTTTATTTGTTTCATGCTTTACTTAAGTCTTTGATCAATTTTGAGTGAATTTTTGTGTAACATGTAAGATAGTGAGTAAGTTTCTTTTATATATACTGTTAAATTTTCATTACGTTTATGGAAGACATTCGTATATCCATTGTATTTTTTCTTTTTTGTTTAGCTAATTTGTTATAAATAAAGCTAGGTGTCTTTGTTTCTCTTGGTTTAAGCAATTGTGGTAATATGAGTACCAAGATGGGTGTGGTTCAGTCATGACTTACAAAGTAGCAATCCAGTATATGTATAGTTAGCATGTGATCTTAGCTCTGGCTATTTGAACACAATAATTTCAGCGTTCACTTGCTCTCTCTAAATAGCACAACAGGGAGTGTCACCTCCGAACAACCATGAACATGCCACCTTCACCAACAATATGAAAAGGAGATGTTTCTGCTGGTCCCTGCTTCCCTGGCAGGTGCCTCTGCTCAATATATGAAACTCACCCACGCACGGTCCCTTTGTTTTTCAAACTGCCACCTCTCTTGGAGTCCCAGAGTGAATCTTTATGTTATCTTAGAAAGAAGTATCTCTGTTTCCCAGAATTCTTTAGTACCTCAGGACATTATGTCCCTTTAGTTTTCAATGCCAGATATTTTGAGATAAAAGTATCTATTCTCCAATGCAGGTACTTAGCACTGGAGTAACCTACTTGGGGTCCAAACCCCTTACACTTCAGGGAGAAGCTCAGTGCTTATAAAGTCTTTCCCTTCTGGGACTGACGATGCCAGGGATGGTAATGTCTCTGCCTCTGTCACCCATGTTGATAGATCCTTTTTGTCTACTGATGAAAATGAAGTGTTCAGCTAGTAATCAGTTCATTTACAGAGGGAACTGCTTTACACGTAATCATATATTTCATGTTTCCATCAAAGGAAGTGCATTCAGTGGCTGCCTATATCATTTCCTCTAAAATCAATATGGATTTAGATTACTGTTAAGTTGAAAGCAATATACAATTTATTTTCTATCTCCTAGGCAAAATTAGTCATCCATTTTTATTCTAATATTTTCATAATTTCCATTTTTGTAATATAAACATGCAAACTCATAGTTTCAAAAAATTTTTTTTCAAAAACTTAGTTCTCTGCAGAGGAAAAACTACTTAATCTGGACATCTCAGAAATTATGAGGGGATAAAGAAGTAGTGAAATGATAATAAATTGATACATTTATTTCTGAAGCCATTTATTTACAATAAATTTTTAACACAGAACAAAATTCAAAGAATGATATAATAAACAATGATATAACCAAAATCTGTATCTAATATATCTGACAAAGTTCCACATCAGAACTACCTTTTTCAATTTATGTGCACAGTTGTATATATGTTCTCACTAAAATAGTAGTTACATGCATCCTAACAATTCATTTTCCAAGAACTATTGAATAATTAAAAGAAGTTTCTTTCATTACCACAATAATAAATTTTCACAAAAAATTAATAATTTTATGTTTGAATAGCTGCTATGTATACAAATTAACCCAATTACTTCCAAACTATCTCATAGTTGAACTTGTGATCAAAGTCTCACTAACAGTGATCAAACTCACATTGAAGTTAATTGTTATGTCCTTTTTGTCTCCTTTCATATATAACAGGCTATAATCATTTTTCAAAAATAATTTCAGAAGAATGTAGACCAATTGGCTAGTTGGATGCCCTGGGTTCCAATTTTTGTCTGATTATTTCATGTATGCTGAAAATTAGTTCTAAAATAACAAGAATCATCGATCTTTTTCTATAAAGCATGGTTGTAAATATTTTTCACTTTGTGGTCCCATAAACTTGGTCAGGACTTCTCAACCCTGATATTGTAACATGTAGGCACTCACAAACCATACATCAATGTAGATGGGTACTATGTTCCAGTAAGACTTTAAAATAAATGTAGACATTTGCCTGAATTTGGCCAGAATATTATAGTTTGTCAACTCTTAGTATAAAAACTAGCTTAGATTTGTATTAGGCCAATATATAAATAATTCTTTATCTGCCACACATAAGATATAGTAACTTCATGTTTTATCAGAAGATATATATCCGGTTGCCAGCTATGGATGATGCTAAATTTGATTAATAAGATCAGTTGGTGACTGCCAGACTGCCACATTGTAAATGTATGCATTGGCACTTGTAGCCAACAGTAATCTATAAGGTAATATTTTGCATGTGGGACAAACCTGATCTCAAAAAATTCCTTCCCCAAATGATTTCTGTGGCTACCCCATGATTATTGATAATTGATGAATTACCAATTCATTCATAACTTCATTTATTGGCTGGTATTTTAGCTATCAATTAGAACTTATACACATTTATATTTAATATACTATAATAATTCAGACTGATCTATATGTTAAAATTGAATTGGATATGATTAGCATCTTTTAGGTATAGCTCTGGAGTTAGATCTTGCCTAGATCACATGCTGAGAGTGAATTATTATATTAAAAAATACAACTTACAACAGCTCAGTTTATAAAATGAAAGGATTAAAGACACTATTACAGGGTTCTGATTTTATACTGAGGAAAACAATTTTATATGCAAGTTTTTTTAAATCAGGAATTGGATCTGTCTTCACTCCACTGCAAAAGGTGAGTTAATAAAATATATTCTTTAATTAGTAAATTGGTAAACCACTGGAAATAGAGGTGAAGAAATGGGAAAAGAGAGGTATAAAATGAGGACACTGTATTGTACTTTTCAAAAACTAGAAGACTTAAACAAGAGCACTGCAAAATAGTCGAAAAGAAGTCAAAGAAGACCTTGCATGCTCATTGATCAGATTGAACATAATTAAGTCTCCCAAAATTGATATAACTATTCAATACTGTCCTGATAATTAGGTGAGTTAAATTTTTTTTCAGAAATTGAAATGTATTCTTTAAAATTTATTAAGGTGTCCAAATAATAGGCACTTTAACCAAAATATATAGAGAATTTTTATCATTTGTCACTAAATACAATTGCAAAATTAAAACAAAGTATTTGAATAGCTATTTCCCCCAAAGAACATAAACAAATGGCTAATAAGTACATGAAAGATACTCAACATCAATACATATCAGTGAAAGGCAAAACAAAACCACAATGGATAGCATTCCACACCCACTAAAGTATCAAAAAGATAAATGAAATCATCTTTTGATAAGTATGGGAGGGAAACTAGAGGCATCCATTTCAATAATTTTAAAGAAAAGTGGTAAAAAAATCTACATTTTCAAAAAATAACTCTCCTATTATCTGAAAAAATCATTTCGGGACAGAGAGGTGGAGTCCATCTAGGAGGATATCTCAATCAGCCCAGAGATGATGACAACTGGAATTGGGAGACAGTGATGGAAACAGCATCAGGAAGACTAATTTGTGATCTACTAAAGAGAAAATGATAGTAAGATTTAGCAAAAAAAATGACTTGGAATATAAAAAGATAATATTAATTTTATTAATATTATAATTAAGGATCTTCCAGGTCCAATGGTGCAGTTTTTCCCTCAGCTAAAGGATGGTAAAGCTTATCAAAGAACTGAGTGAGCTAAAGAGCATAAAGTTGGAAAATAAAAAGACGGTGAATTCTGTTATGGTCACGTGGAGCTGAGATACATCAAGTCGTCAACTGGAAATAGAGATGTCAAGTCGGCAACTGGAAATAGTAGTCATGAACGCATATCGATTTCAAGACTGAGAAACATATTTGACCATCATTGCCTTCTGCGTGTCTCATTAAGTCACTATGGATGTAACTGTCTATGTGAGCATATAAAATGAGGATAGCAGTGTTTCAAGAATGAATCAATGTAGAATATGTGAAAAATAAATAGATAAATAAAAGTTCTGATAGAGGGATACGAAGAATTCCAGGAGTTTGAGATATGAATATCAGAGACAAAAGGAGAGGATTTCAAGATGGAGGCAATAACCATGGTATACAGCACTGCTAGGAGGACCAAAAGGGTCTTCCCTATTGGTGCAAGGTGCTAAATTTCAGCATTATGGAGCAATTGACAGCCATTGGGGGGAGGGGGAGGAGGAGGAAGAAGGGAGGGGAGAGTGGAGAAGGAGGGGGGAGAAGAAGGGAGAAAGGGGAAGAAGGAGGAGGGATGAGGAAGAAAAAGTTAGAAGGCTGGAAAATTTATAATGTGAAGATTTTTTGGAGTAGTTGTAGTTGGTTCAGGGAAATGCAGAAAGTTTGCCAGCTAAGTTGTGGAATCACTGAAGTTAGGAAAACAAGTTAGGGCAGTCTAAAAATCTAGAAAAATTCATATGGACCTATGTCTCACGTTATTCACCTATCAAATGGGACCATAATACTACTCACCTCCAAATTCTAAAATGAAGACTGAATGAAAAAATTTTTTGAATAAAAATATTTTTAAAAAGGCTTTGTGAACAGGAAAATGCAGCTGCCCACTGATTCATACTGAAACCTCGCCTCTGACCTCTGTCAATATTTTTTCTGGTTTTAGCCTTTGTGTGTGCAAGAGACACTCATAATAGCTGCAGACTTAACAGGAGAGTCTCAAATCCCCGTCAATACCTATTTGACTCTGCTGCCATAGCTATAAACACGTGCCTATTGCCTGCATGTGGACGGGCAGCAGGCAATGACCACAGTGCATCACAGCCTGTGCATCACTGCATCAGGTCATTAGTTTCTGCCTTCTGAGATTACTATATTACCTTTCCCACTCATAGTGTTAGTATTTTATCTTCTCACCAGGAAATCTAAGAGCTCATTTACTTGGTCACATAATGTGGGTGTCCTATGAGTGTGGTAATTAAGAAGATAGTGGTACACAATAGTGAAGGGAGCTTGAAAGTTGAGCAACAGCACTCATGATGAGCACACACCTTCCAGTGGGTACAAGAGTAAACCAGGGAGCATCACCTAAGGGTATCGCCTTCTATATGCCCAGACTGTCCAGTGTAGCAGCTATATGCTGTTCAAGTGGTTCAATTAGTGAAGGGCTCTGGGCGCAACCTGTGACCTTACCATGCTTGGTTTGGAGGCATCAGAAATGACCCTGCTGGAGAGTGTGTAGCTCTCAGACTCAGCTCCCAACTTCCTGACCATTTTGCACCATCTTCCATATTGCTCCCGGACCTGCAGGGAAAAAGCATGCTCTGAGGCAGCTCACTGAGAGAGGCGAGGCTGGAAGAGTCCTCAGTGGGGGATGTCCAGTAGTACCTGCTGGCTGAAGAGGCAGTAGACCAGGAAGATGAAGACGCCCTGCAGGCTGTTGATGATGGTGAACAGGTAGGCCATGACCTGGGCACCCGGACCCACCTGCAGGATTCCCAGACACCATGTGCATCCCAAGATGACGACCTGAGTAGTAGCTTTAAATATCAGCATTCTGGGTGAGAGAAGTAAGGGGATACATGATTTACCAGGAACAGCACTTTCTAAGTCATTTTCTTCTCCACCCCATGGCCCTACCCCTCCATTGCTGATGAATTCTCAGAATGAGTTGTGATCAGCTTTCATATTTCATGATCAGTTATTACCCTCAATGGCATTTTTATTCAGTTGAGTGACATTTTATAAAGTAGTGTCAAATTTTTTATGATGATCCTTGGATAATCATAATTTCATTTGGCCAGCAAACTGAGGAAGTACTATCAAGCTTTGTGCTGGCACTTGGATCATTCCACATCTGAGTATCTACCCCCACCAAAAAATGCAAAAACAGGAGTTAGAAGGGATTATGCTTAGTGATATTAGTTAGAAGGAAAAAGGAAAATATTGGATGTCTTCACTTACAGGAGGAATGTAGGGGAACTGAATAAGGGATCATGGGAATAAGTAATTTAATAAATTAAAGAACAAAATTAATGGGTGACTACATATCAGAAACATTCGGTATGGGAGGAGGAGTGTGAAGTTTCAAAGCATAAAGGGAAGACCACAAGCGACTGTGGTGATGGTACATGGGTGCACTGCAGGTGGGAATTCTATAGAAGGTCACCTGAGAGAGAAGGCATACATTGCACAAAAAGGAAGAATAAAGTAAAAAACTATAAAATACATTTGTTTTAAAATTTGATGTTGAGACAAGAAAAATACAAAAACAATACTGCAAGGGTTATAGAGTTTCTGTCTTCATTGAAGCATTATTTGCAATAGCCAGATTTTGGGAACAACTTAAGTGTCCAATGGCAGGCAAGTGGATTAAGCTGTGTATACAAAAACAACAGAATACTATTCAGTTATTTAAAAAGAAAAAGAAACTCTTGCTATTTTCAACATGAATGAACTGGAAGAGATTCTGACATGTGAAATGAGCCAATGGAGAAAAGCAAATTTCGGGTAATTTCACTCATGCATGGACTATAGAGGAGTAAAAAGGACCACAAACATATACTAGAGATGACTGTAGCACTGAGGCACCATGTGCGCAAAGTGTGGAGGGGACCCAGTGGCCTGTGGGGGAGGATTATGAGTGTTCTGGTAGTGGGTGCCATGTGGCAACAAGCATCTGGGGTGCTGTGAACTGCTACTTCTAAATCATATAGTGGCCCAAAACATGTTACCTAACAAAAATAATACCTAAAGAAAAATCATTTAAGTAACAAGTCAAGTTTTCTATTTCCTAAGCCTCATAGTCTTCCAAATGATCAATGTAAATGAATAAGGGCATGCAAATTTTTAAAAGCTAATGATAAGAAAATATACTAAAAAGCATTACATTTACTCAGTGCTTCCTAGAGCAAAGGCTGCTCAAGCCTTCTAGATGTGATGCTGCCTCAAATTTTTCCTATGACAAGGTCTGTAGTCAAAAGACTAATCTGAGGGTGGGTTAAGAAAGTGCAGACAGGATTGTGGGACACTCACAGATTTTTCTAATGCTACATGGGAACATAAGTATTCTTGGCCCTCTTGCTGAGGACAGCTGACAAAAGTCCAAATCATGTTTATCAGTCAATGTCAATTCCTTCTGTCGCAGGCAGATGCACAAGATGGGCTTGGAGAGGAAATGTCTGGCTGGGGTGCCAGCAGCACATGCCAAAAAACACACCAGTCTGCCACGAACAAGTTACATCTGGGTTCCCTCAGAACCACCTTGAAAAGGGACATCAGGAATATTGATGCTCATGCTTTGTGCTCCTGGGCCCTCACATGTCTACATGGTTGTCACCCCTTTCTAGCTTACCTTGTGTTCTGGATGGTGGACACGTCACTGTTGAGGGAAGAGAGTTTGTTTTTCAAAATCCAGAGTGCCATCAGAAAGAAAACTATATTGACCTTCAGAAAACAACACAAATTTTATTCAATAAAATTCCAACCTATTATCTCTATCCCAGCTAATTCAATATCAACTTCAAATATCCATAGTGTTCATGTTTAGTAACAGTTTTGATGTTTATAGTTTTAGGAGTAGCCTCATAAAACCAAACCCATAACAACCCGGGGACACATCTTGATACAATCACCTTCCCCATTGCAATTCTGCTCTTCCAGTGACCCCAGTTGAGCATTAAGGATGCTCTAACATCATCACTCACAGAGAAGATGGCACAGACTGGTCCAAGGAAGCCCCATATAAATCCCTTCTCTGTGTGAAGCCAGCAACTGGACAAGAGAGAGCAAAAACCTGTATTGGTATGGAGGTTAACAGAAGGGGAAGAGTGTAGTGGGTATAAAAAAGGGCTAGTTGGGCCCAAATGTCCTTGAGTGCTTTGGTAACTGATACATCTCCATGAAAGGGAGAGGAGCATTGAATGGGATCATTCTCCCTGACAGGAAGTTGCTTTGTGTTACAAGTCCAGTATGGTTGAAGGGTATCGGGGAACAGTAAGTGATACACAGAGAACCTAGAAGTCAGACTTTACTAACAAACAGTGAAAGCTTTCCTTCAAGTTGCAACATCAGAGTAGAATTGATAGTAAAGCAGGAAGCAGAATATTTGAGAAGAATACACCGAGAAGAATGGAAACAAGGAAGAAATGATGTGTCCAAAATGACACCTGAAAAGAACAAAGCTGGTGTGTGTGAATGCTGTGGCTGAGTGCAGAATCTGGGAGAGTAATTTCCTCAGTGGGGGCATGAGTACTTCTGTGAAGTAGCTATTATTCAAAAGCAAAAACATGTTTATGGAAAACAACTAAAACCAACAATTTTAAAACTCAAATTTCCCAAAGCCACAAAACAAACTGAAAATAACCTATCCAAAAACAATCTTCCAAACTCTGATAAGACTGAGTGTTAGAGGGAAAGCATACCCTGAACAAACTCCACACAGGTTTTGCAGACTCCACCCCATTCCAGACCAAAGTCATCAAGAGTCCAGGAACTACAAATCCCATCATCCCCTCATTTTGCAACTTATACATAAATGGACTTTAAGACATTTATTTAAAGATTTGTGCTTTTATGTGTTCATCTATAAAACAGAGTAAACAATAGTATCTGCTTCATATTGTGATGTGAGAATTAAATCAACAATTTAAAAAATGGTTAAAAAATGCCTGACAGTAATTAGGCACCTTGTAAGTCTAAACTATAAATAGACTACTGTTTTGATTACCTAAATGGGTTCTACTTTTCCAAATCAAAAACTAGAATATCCTATAAGATAATGATTAAGTACAAGTTAGATTTTTTTTCATGAAGTCCTAAACACTCCTTTCAATTTCCTCTTTGTTATTTCAAGGGCAGAAATATATTCTCCTTAATAACAATACTATTGAAAGATAATGATGCCCTAAGGATTATTACCTGGTGTTGCTCTACATAGTGTTATTGGTTCCAAAATGGCCATGGTCATGGAACAAAGGAATGCCAGTGGGATTTTGCACTCACCGGGCAGCTGTTCCATAAAGGTCAGGCCTGGATGCTGCGGAAATGGTCACAATCACAGCTGGGACTCCATAGCCCACCGGAAACATAAACTTCTTCATGAACCTGTTCACACTGGCATAGTTGACCACCATCAGGTTGCGCGCAGTGAGGAAGAGGTGCAGGCCCTCCAGCAGCATCCAGGTGAAGGAGGCCAGGTACAGGTAGTGTAGGGTCCCTGCAATGGTGGCACACAGGACCTGGGGAGGGAGGGCATCCTCAGGAGGGGTCGTGCAGTAGAATGCGGCCCCAGGACCTCTCTGCTCCCTGCCACTGGAAACAGTGCTGAGGTATAGGAAGGAGCTGTCAAGAGAGGGGCTGTCTTCCACTTGCACCTGTCAGTGTGAAATTGACCCTTCACCCCCACAACCTTCCCCAGGGTCCAGGGCTATTTCATTTAAATGTACATTATAGCAAGGCTCCAACTCCAGAGCTCCCAGAGGGAGGGCTGGCAATCCCCTGGGGCACTGTCACTACCTTGATTTCAGTTCTGTCAATGGCCGTGAGGAAGAGCAGATGGGCAAGGAAGAGGCAGAGTGAGAGCTGCAGGTGGAGGGAGGTACTGATGTTCTGGATGGTTTTGCACAGCCGGAAAGTGATGGCGGCCAGGAAGAGGCAGAGCAGAGAGAGGCTCAGTCCCACGTAGGTGATCACAGCCAGCACAGGATCCTCCCCCTGGGACGTAGCAGAGATGACAGTCACCTACTGCTCTGTGGCAATGCCACTAACCATTTTCACTTTCACTTTCAAGTACAAGACAACAAAATCCAAGTTCCCCTGCCTCTTATTTTATGTAATCCTCTTTTAATTATTTTTATTTTTCCTTGCTAATGTATTGACAGTACAGGATTTCCCTCCTTGGGTTGTCGCTGTAGCCTCCCACCATGGAAGCACCCACAGTCCTCCACAGAGTGCACTGTACTCTGTCCCTCCATACCACACCTCTCTTGTCATAGATAATCTTGAAGCCATGAGTGTAGGAGACCAGCTCCAACTTTTGAGGTGTCTGGAGGCAACACAGGCAGGACCCTAAAATGGGAAGGCGTCAGTTTGCAGAGATTCCAAGAGGGGGAGAGGGAGTGAGGAAGACAGGGGAGTCAGAGTTGGGTGCAAATCTTCCTGCTCTGCCTTCAGCAGAGGTTTATTTTATACATTTCAAGCAGGCAGGGGATGACATTAGCATATGAAAGGGGCCGAGATCACAATCACCTTTTTTCTAAGAATGGTCTGGGGTCCTTTGACCTTTACTTGAGATTATAACATTCTAAAATCAAGGTTAAGAAACCGGTACATAGGTGCTCAAAGTTTAAGACTAATATTACTATAGTGAAGATAGATAAGAATAAAGTCCTTTAAACCTTATCTATTATTTGATGGTTTTTTTCTACCTGAAACATCTTGGGAGGCAGGAAGAGGAAATTTCTTGCTAATCAAGTTTCAGAAAAGTTCTTTGAAGAAACTTGCTAAACGGTTTTAAGTGAGTTTCCTTGAGGTCCAGACAGTAGTAGAAAGCATAATTTGCTCTGAATAGGAAACATAGGTGAATTTCCTTATCTAAAGACTAGGTAGTAGAATCCTGAAAGACTAGCCAGAAGACTTTTGTGGATTGCTCTGAAGTGTAGTAGGTAAAAAACTAGACTAGCTCTAAAACAGGCAACCTGGATGATTTTCCATATCTAAAGCCAGATAGTAGAAAGTTTGAGTAATTCTGTAGAAGCTGAATAGAAGGCTAGGTGAGACAGTAGAATGATAAGATTTGAGTTTTCCTCCATCTGGCAGTGAGAGACTCTGCAGAAACAGCCCTTTTGCTTTTTTATTGATCAGCCAGTTGTTAAGTCACTTTTGACTTCAGAGGAATTTCTCACTCTGGTGCAGTGCTTGCTTGTCAGGGCAGGCAGGCCTTATGCGGCTGAGGCAATCCAATTGTAAGCTGAAAGTTGCTCAGAATATTTTGATATTACGATTATACAAAAAAGGGAGGTCATAACATAAGTTAGGAGTGGAAAGTCTGATTTTTCAGAGCTTTTGCCAAGCTACCCGGAATCTGTCAGACGATAGCCGTCACATAGCTTGTGTCACATGAGAAGAATTTTTAAAATAACAATTCCAGGCCCTCCCTGCTGGTGCCACAGGTTAAAGATATTTTACGTGCAGCACTATGAAAGCTATTAATAACCACTGCAGCACATGTTCCATCCCAGACCTGGGAGGTGACCCACATGGCACAGCAGACCTCTCCTGCTCCCAATGCTACTTGCCTCAGCAGTGTATTTCAGAGGATCTACCTGCTCTGCTCTTCATTCTGTCTCTGGTGAATCCTCTCTCTCACACACACACATACCCCACACCTCTGACCTATACCCCAGTTCATGTATACATAAATAAATCTTAAAAGTAAATGAATGAGGGCCCTCCCTGGTGGCACAGTGGGTTAAAGCACAGCACTAAAAAGCTAAAGCCACTTCAGCATGAGTTTGACCCCCAACCCAGAGGAGTTCCATATGGCATGATCCCCTCAGCAGTATACTTCAACAGTTGGCTGTTCTGCTCCCCACTCTGTCTCTGGTGAATCCTCTCACTGCCCCTGCTCCTCTGGCCTGTACCCCACCTCTGTATGCATAAATAAATAAACTTTTTTAAAAATGAGTGAATGAAAAATAGCAATTCTGGGCCTCCCTGGTGGCCCAGCATGATCAGTGGTTAAGTCTCAGCACTATCAAACTATTGCCAGCCACTGCAACATCAATGACTCACAAGGCATGGCTCAACTCTGTGGTCTTGCTCTCACTCCCCTAACCAGTTTACCTCCGTCAATCTGCTTGTTCTGCTGCCCACTCTGTCTCCGGTGAATCCTTTCAACCCCCCACTTCTGCCCTAAACCCCAGTTCTTATATGCATAAATAAAGAAAATAAATTTTTAAAGAAATTAAATTTAAAAAAATAGCAATTCCATTTCAAGGGAAAAAGTTAAGAGGGAGGCAGGGAAGTAGAAAGAGGTGGTGTGAATATAAAGGAAATGGATATAAAGTACTTGACTCTGGTATATCTGGATAAATGGAACTTGGGCATTATTTCCAATGTTTTAAATCTATAGTATTTCAGTCATCCTAATAACATATTTAAAATAATTAATAAGCCCTTCATGTATTCTTCATGCACACTAAATTTGGAGAATTTTTGCCATTGTCACACACAAAAAAAAACCTAATTTCTCTAATATACAAAGAATTCACATAAATCCAGAAGAAATACATACCAATTAAAATGGCTGAGATGAAGAAAGCCATTTAAGGAATTAGACTAGCTTTGTATTATAAGTGGGCTATTAACTGGAGCAAAGATATGGTTCCAGAAACAACTCAGTCCGGCCATCCGAAGTCTCTTATAAAAATTGAGAAGGGAAAGACTGGTCTTAGGAAGCAAAAGTCTATTTCTGTGATGTAAATTATCTGCCTTGAGTTGTTTTTTTTTTTTTTTT